GGAGTTTAATATGTGGCCTTTAAAGGAACTGTCATTAAATTATGACCAAGAGAACCAGAGCTGATTACGCTGGGAATCCAACATGAGCGTGTTAACTGGAACCTAAATCAGTTTTGTGTGTGTCGGATTGCTGGACTGCCATCAGGGCAGCACTGTGTAACTGCATGCAGCTGCCCACAAACGCTGGCTCCAACATATGACCCATTTTCACAGCTCGCAAAGCATTTAGCCGCCAAACTATGCGAATGAATCCATTCCTGTGCTTTTTTGGAAGGACACACAAAACCTCATGTGAATGTTTAACAAATATCAGTTGGCCTGGGGTCAAGTTCTTTAACCAGATGAACCTTAATATGACCATTGTGATGTCACTCTGTATGCTCAGAGAGAAAAATGTCACGTTTTTATTTGCTGCAGATAATTGTTGACTATGAACATTTCTGGGAATTTCTATTTCTATGAGTGCTTCTTGTGGATGTGACGTTTTATTTGCAATTGAAACTGTTGGTCAAAGAACATTTAAATACTCATCACTAATACTCGTCCTGATTTCTGCCAATTTGAATAGATCCACTATACATAGACAAATTGAAAACAGAAATCCAATGCAAGTTTCATAGTGTTTGCATCGGATACTAATTTGCAACACTTGTTCCTAGCAGGGCTTTTTGTGTAAATAAAAGATTAAAAACTGTTCAACAGGACAAAGAAAGAGAAAACTGCAACATACAATAAGGCCCACATTTAGCTGCGATTTAGCAATTCAAGTCTGTTGCTGAACTAACCAGGATTTGGTGATAACGTTACTTTCACATGTGCGATATTACTTCTCATTATTGTCATGTTTAATTCAATTGAATATCATATGTAGTCTTACAGACATCAAGGTCAAGGTTTCTTTATTCGTCTCCCTAGGGAGAAATTTGTCTCGGATGCTGGGAAATTGCTGCATGGACAATACATCGAAAAACAATATAAAAACAGTAATTACAAATGTGCAAAAAACATTTAGCTTATCCGTGCTACAGTTCACCCAAGCTTCTGCTTACGTATCCATACACATACACACACGCACACACACACATGATCTTGTACACTTGAACTGCACCCCTGTTTTTCTCATTATTCTACTGTCAATATAATAATATAATACTTAATAATAATAAGTATGTTTATTTATAGATAGAGCGAAGAACCATTGGTAATAAAAAAAAAAAGGTTGACGCTTTTTCTCACAGGACCCGAGCACCTAAAGCTCCTGAGTTTCTAAAGCAGTAAAAGCCTTTCTGAGCGGGAGATGAGTGAGTACTGGCAGACCCTGGGTGCTGGCTCGGGTCCAGTTATCCTTTATGATTTCCTCGTTTTGGGCGGGATTGGAGCATGTTATAAAAATAAGGTTGTAATCGTCCCCATTGGTTGAAGCTGTTAGCTGTTATGCTAATGAAAGCTATCTAACCCTGAAAACATGATTTCCTTAATCTACTTACATTTCTATAGATTCTATGGCGGGCTAAGCCTATTAGGCCACAGAGCTGTGAAAAGTAACAGCGGAGGGGAAGACTTAAGAGGAAGGAAGAAGAGTGGTGCGAATGTTATAGAAAATAAGTAAGGTCTTTTTACCTGCTTTTTGTAACATAACAATAAGTAAGGTCTTTTACCTGCTTTTTGTAAAGTGTCTCGAGATAACACTTGTTATGAGTTGACGCTATACAAATAAAATTGATTGATTGATTGAATGTGTGTGAAAGCGACACCTTATGTTGTGAGCATACAGTAATCATGCGACCTATAAGTAAAAAAAAACATGATTTCTTCATATAAAGCAATACTCTGTGGTTTGTCTCTGGGGTTCTTCCCACAGTATTTATTGAAGGGGAGAAAAGGAGAGAGAAAAAGACAGAAGGGTGAAGGTTCTCTTCCTATAATTACAAAGATAGCACGGTTACTCTACGTCCCCGGTGGAGGCTCTGAGGCGTCACTCCCGATCCCCTTCATATTGTATAAAGACCGGTCTATCAGCCCGGGGAACGGCATCATTGCTTGTAAATTAATTTGGGGTTCCTGTCAGTCTGGGACCTTTCTCCTTCTCTTATCTGGCAGTGTAATACGGGGAAGGCTGAGAGGCTGGGGAGATACTGTTGAGAGCGCTGGAGGGGGAGGAGGTGAGGCGAGGGGGGGGAGGGGGGGAAGTGAGTATTAAAGAGAAGAAAGATAGATAAAAGAGAAGAGAGATGCAAGGACAAAACAAGAGAGGCGCGTGAGAGAAGCCAATGGGAGCCCCGCTGGATGTCATAAGCGGATTCAGGATTCAGGATTCAGGGGAAGGGCCTGACTCGGTGATAAGTGAATACGCTTTGCCATCCTATTTTCCACACACGGGGCTATTTGTCATCCAGGCTGGACTCTGCGCCAAGAGGCCTTCACCTATCAGCACTATTTGTCCCAGTGTCACAGCCAGCAGATAAATCTTCCCCACCCTCTATTTACCAGAGGTCCGGCCCTCTTCTGGCCATATGGGCTCGACACACACACACACACACACACACACACACACACACACACACACACACACACACACACACACACACACACACACACACACACACACACATATATACACCTCTGACCCCTTCACTTGTTTCTAATTAACCCCTCACCCGCTGGATGTAGCCTCAATTCCCTAATGGCAATAAATAGGCCTGACTAAAACCCCATTAGTGGCATGAGTCATGATGGCATATTAGTAGAGCATTGACTCAACGCTGTCATGGCGATGACGCTCGGCTCATTCATTACAATTACATTTGTTACCCATTTGTATGAACTTGTAATTATACGAGAATGTTTCACTGGGACTCATTCTCAAGACAACACAACAAAGGCAGCAAATATTAAAAAATGCTATTTATTTCATCAATGTGTGTAACAATTTGTTTTAGTGCCATCACAAGAAATGAGTGTACTTAATACTTAGGACTAGTTATGGTAATAAAATGAGTAATTTGTAGGTCCTTCCTTTAAAAAATGTCTAATATTTTTGTGACATTAAAGCTAGGTATCAAATGAGGCCATTACTTGCATTTTTTTTTTTTTTAAGATTTCTTTTTGGGCTTTTTGTGCCTTTAATGGAGATATGGGGCAGTGGGTAGAGTTGGAAATCAAAGAGAGAGAGAGAGAGCAGGGAGTGACATGCGGGAAAGGAGCCACAGCATGGATTCAAACCTGTGCCGTCTGCTTTGAGGACTACAGCCTCCATACATGCATTATACATTTTTAATGGCAAAGATTCTCAATTGACTCTTAAAAGAAAGCAGGATGAGTTAAAAATTATATTTTTTTGAAACATTGCATACTCAATTGGACAGATCAGGAAAGAGATACAGTATGATGCCCCACTTTATCCACAGGGGGGCGCCAAAATCAACACAAACTGAAAGTTCTTCAAAGGAGCTTTAAAATATTGTAAATGAAATGTATTCTTATGATGCCCTTCCTCCAATGTTTGTGTCTTTAAGGTGGATTAAGTGTCCTTGATGTTAGTCACTGAAAGAGGGCTTCACATGAATAAAGATGGAGGCACGCTTATCTCAACTACTTATATTTTGTATTCAACATATTTCATTGGACAGTTATAGATTTACACATCTAATAAGGTTAATTTTTGACACTGGCAAAGAAGAATTCATTTATCAACACATTAAATCTAAAGGTGGTTGTGTTAAATTGGGTTGTGTTCCTTATACACCTTTAATTACCTTTAATTAATTAAAGGGTGAATTGAACCAAAATGAACTAAACTAAAATATTATGTAAATGTTTAACTTTGTTAAGTGTCAAAAAGTATTTAAAAAAATAGAGATTTACACTTACAGGTGTATATATGACTCAATCTAATACAAAATAAGTAAAATATGATCTACAATTGCAACATGAATATTCTGATTATTAATCCAATAATGATATTTTAAAAGGGGTGCGGATACTTTTCTGGTAACTAAGGGGTGTTGTGAATATTTGTGTGCTTTTACATTACTTTAAATTTTGAGTGCAGTCCTTCAACTTGTTCTGGAGGTTTTGTCACTTTTTAAAACTTAAATTCTTCCTTTTAAAACTCTTACAGTATATACTACAGCCGGGTTTCCCAACCTTAGGGTGTGGGGTCACATTGGAATTCAAATGAGGTCACCTGAAATTTGTATTTATTGCTCAATAAAGAATATATTTTAAAATATATTGAACGCAGGCTTAGCCAATGCCAGAACAAGAAACTTGCAGATTTGTGTCTGTCATCAAATGTGCAGAAATGTCATGGCAGCCTTTCTTCCTCTGTCCACAATAATAAACACAAAGAAATCTGAAATGGGATCTAAAATGTATGCTTACTTGCAACACAGTAGAACAGAAGAATAAAATGTTGCACTGTAAAGTTCACTATGAATGCTGCTGTTTTGAATTGTTTAAAATAATTCTATAGACTTTTCCTCATTGTGAAATTGTCAATGTGCGGTAATGACAAGGTGGTGCTAGCAGGCTAATTACACCCATGTGTTTGTGTGCAAACAATCATTATTTTTACTCATGAAACAAAGAACAGCTTCTTTTTCTTTCATGTGGACGACCAAGACTGTCACAGCAGGAGAAAAACCTCCTATTATTCCAACAATGCAACAAAACAAGCCCTGGAATTTTGTTGGGGGTGCGTATATTTGGCAGACCTCCAACACGGCTGCAACACCATGAGACGATTGAAGCAAATGAACAATAAGACATGCATCATCCAGGGTGGCCTTCTCTGAACACTTTTGGAAGAAGAAGAAGAAGAAGAAAAAATGGTTCACATCCAAAAGCTTTGAAAACGAAGGACAACAGGATGGACAATTTATATTCAGAAACACGTTTTATTTTGTCTTTTTTCTGCACACTTTTGCAGTCGTCGTTCAGAATTTAATGTCAATTAACTAAGAGATTCCCCTGGAAATGTCACAATGTCAAGTCTGTGTTAAAAAACAATAAAATAACAGTGAAAATGTTTTATTAGTATAATACAAGTATAAGAAAACATGCATACTGAGTGTTTCTTTTTTTGTCATTAGTCGTGCAGGCAGTGCTGGGAACAGAGGAGCAAGTCCTCTGATTTTGTGGATTTCTTGTCATCTCGCGCCCCCTGGTGGCCTACTGTAGACACTGACATGAAGATGCACACAATCTGCAGAGAAACAAAAGTGCATAATCTATATGGTTCATTTCACTGAGACCTTAATCTTTAGAACAGAAGAGCATTTTTTTTTTTTTTTTTTTATTAATTTCTGGGCTTTTTTCCTGACGGTGGGTATTGACATGACATGACCTGCAGGTCAGACTTGAACCCGCTTGGTGGTGGTGAAATGCTACTTCCTGTCCTCACAGAACTTTATGACTCTCTCTCAGTTCCACTTTGAAGTCCTTCAGTGATGCACATGGATTTGAGCTGATTTGACCTGTGTTGTGAAGAGCAGGATTATGGAGCCTCCTAGTGGCCAACGCTGCCTGCTGCAGTTTGATTTGCTGGATGTCACTGAGCAGGGAGGCCTCTTGGGTCAGACTCTGCAGCATCTGGTCTTTTGTGGCCCTCACTGCTGTACGCACCAGCGCCAAAACCCCCTGAAGGTAAAAGCAGACACAACATTAATCAGGTCATTTAAATTATCCCTATATGTTTTCACTTCATGTGTCTTACCTGTCCGTCCAAATCCTCATCCTCTGGAACAGTGACCTCCCCCAGGCGGACCCTCGACCCGTCTCGGAGCGCCCTCAGCTCCTCCACCTTCTGTTGTAACACTGAGGTGAGCTCAGCTTGTCGACGCTGATGCTCCCACTCGTGCAGATCTGTTCCCTGAAGCGCAAGCAAGCAAAAAAAACAAAACAGCAGAGGCTGCCATTTTTAAGTTTCTGAAGAAGACAACCCAGGAACATGTATGGTAAACAGAGATGTGGATGTTAGCAACACTAGCTCGGTTAGCTTCTGTCACAGCAAAAACAGGTTATTTATTTCAACATCTAAACATACAGAGCTTTTATTTTGAAGTTGCAAAGTTCATTCTTCCTGTTTCCTGCTCCAAAAATAAAATAAAAACAGTAAATGTTGTTAGCATTTACATAGCATGACAAAAAATAGACTAAAAAAAATAGACAATAGTAGAAATGTTTGTTTTTTTTACCTGTGTCAGAGCACAAGGTGTTGGTGGCAACTGCACCTCCAAGTGTAGTCGAGTTATGGACACGCCTACTGCTCCGCCCACCACTGCCTGGAGGAGCCTCCGACGCGTGACACAGGCGTTTGTGAGGAAGCTGGTGAACTTGTGCCGCTGGACTGAGGTTATGTTTAGTGAACACTCAGACAGTGCAGCTCCCAACAAGGACAGTAGGTCAGGTACGTCGAGACCTAAAGGATGGATGACAAAAAGGGTCCAGAAGCCTGAGTGGAGGTTGATTAAAGGACCAATGTGTCTGTCAAACAAACAGGTGATGCAGAAAAGAAAGCGGGCAAGCAAAGTGGTTATGATTATTTTTATTATTTTTATTTATTTTATATATATATATATAATTTTTTTTAATTATTATTATTATTATTAATTTTTTTTTTTTTTTGCATGGTTAAGGAGAGCTTGGAACACAAAAAATTATTTGCCAGCTATGACTGCTTTGCCTGTTATGTTGTGCATTTGAATAATAAAGATAACTTGAACTTGATATAACTGGCTCTACCCGACATAATCATATTTCTAATAAGCTCCACGAGCAGAAACGTGGTAAATTTAGGATAAACATTGGAGATGCTTTTAAAAAATGTAGAGAGGTTAGAACGCAGAAAGGTTTACAGACCGATGCAGAGCTGGATAAACACTGAAGCTTAGAGAGGAGGGGGTGGCGCCTCTCCTCAGTGTTTTTGATTTGGACTGCAGTACCCATTTTAAACACTACATGTCAGTTACATATTGCTCCTTTGAATTATTTTGCAGAAAGTTGGGATAAAATGTGTGCTCTTTGTTTCTTTAAAAAAAAGAAGCCCAACCCCAATTAGCTTCCAGTACTGAAAAAATATAGTTGCAATAAGAAGTAATGGAATAAATCACCTTTAAGGACTTTTAAAAATTTGGGTTGAAGGGATAAAAAAAGAAAATCTGTGCTTCAGGCAAATCACTGTGTCACCAGCGAGGCCTCTGTACATTATGATGCAGTTAAGTTCTGACCTTCCAGCTTCGGAAAGATGCCTTTAGCCATCACAGCTGCTTGGATAACGTCAGGCCAGAGGAAGCCACAAGCTGCGGCGAACATGGCGACATCATACACGAAGTCCTGATGGAAGCAGCGCCGTTCATCGCAGAACTCGGACCAAGAGAAGTGAGAGCTGAGCCTCTGCAAACCCACATCTCTCTGTGACAGACAGACACAAGAACACACATCATTTGTGCAACATACATGCGATACGAAACAGGATAAATAACATAATTACAAGCAAAAAAAAAAACAGCATTATATCGTAAAGTTAGCTTCATTAAAAGTTAAAAACATTACAGACAGGCTAAGTGTGTTGCCGTTTAAAGCTGAGCAATGTACATTATAAACTCAAGTAGGTTACAAATGCCTAAAATTGTGGGTCTTCTCGGGTAGGGTGAATTAGCCTAATGTGGGACAATTGTTGCATTTCAGACTTCTGGGATATATTGCAACATAACTATACATTAAATACACACCCAGTACCACTCTGAAATCCCCAGGATATCCCCCAATCAAACCCAAAGAGAAAATCCAGTTATCACACTCATTAAAGAAATAGTAGACATATCAGTAGTCTCGGACAATCTGCATTTCCTAATGTGGGACACTGAAAAGTCTATGTTAAAAGGTCTGAATCATTTTAATTCAGGTATAAAAACCTGTCACACTCAAGTCTAAAAAGTGTAATCCCATATTCTGTAATTTTACCACTAACAATGTTATTGGTGTTACAAAACACTAAAGAAGGACTATAATAGTTTTGATGCATTTAGTAGAAAGACAATAGGCTATTATATCATCATATCTGACATGCAGAGAAATAAAGTAATTCATTTAAAGAATTGCAGTGTTACAAAGTTAAAATGTTTTCTATTCCATACATCTGTCCTGAATAAAAGAAATGCTTAGCCAACTATCACCAATACTATTTTGTTGACTAGTTGATTAATTGATCGACAAGTCTTCAAAACTGAGTTTTTCCACAGAGAAATATGCAACATGACTTATTTAATCGTATCTTTGCAATCGTATCAAACATGTTTCCTATTGTGGGACAAAGGACATTTTAATTTAAAATAACTAATATAGAATTAATTTAAAACATAATATAATATTTTATATAGTAGGATTGTTTTATTTATAAGAAATGTATATCCTTAACATGAAGTTTGTCTAAACAGTATGGTGCCTGACCTTTGGGTGGTCTTCACGATGTGTACTTCCTGTTTGAAGCTTGTATCATTCTAATCTCTGATTGGACATTTGATAAGGCATGTTATTTCGATCACATGACGTCACAACTTGTGTTAACCCTTAGTTTTATTCACTTACCTACACCCACTTGAGCTTAGGTGTCCCACATTAGGCTAATTCATCCTGTAGTTTTTAAATAGTTTTGTTTTTTACGGTTAGGCCTTCATGTTTTGGTCGACTCTGTTAAAATTCATTTTTAATTTATTGGATTATATGTTCACACTTTTCTCTCTACATAGTCTATAAATAAAGATTCAATAGTACCTACCTGCTGCCTCGCTATCTGGGATATTTCACTCTCTGTAAGACAATCCATAGGCCTAACTTGAGAAACCACACTAAACACTGGTAGTGCACCTTGTTGCCATTGGAAACGGCGCTGTCAACGCGATTGCGTCACTGATATGCTGCTTGTGGCGTTTTTTTTTTGTTAAGGCTACTTCAATGTGACGGACAAAATCTGTCAAAGTCAGCACTGTGATGAAAACTCATAAAAAGCAGTTTTTTAATTTTAGCATGTTTGTAAGTTTGATGGCAGGGGACACAGGTGGTATTAACTTGTCTTTTTCTGATGTAGACCTCATTAGGCTTAGGCCTCTCTGTCCGGGCGCACAGATGGCTCAGAAAGAAAGCTAATCCTCTTTAACAATCCCACTCCTCCTCTTCGTATTGGAACGGCGTACCTCAGGGGTGATTTTGATCACAAGTTAAACCCTTGTTGTCTTGCCGTTCACTTTACACTGGGGGACAACGACTGTGATAGCCTACATCACTTTACCCATCTTAAATGAATGTCACTCCGCCAACAGTTACCATGGTTACCTTAAAGGCGAAGTGCACCGTATCAAACAGACACCTACACAATGTAAACATAATGAAGTTACAATTCATTTCAATCATTTGAATTATCTCAACCTATGAAACATAAAGATCAACAAAATAAAAATTCACAAAAGTAAATATAATTTCAATCTAATATCTACTACTTTCCTTTGTTCAGATGACATGTCCTCATTTCAAAGGTTGGGGAAAATAAATCTCGTACAATATCGCCGATCACCCTCCTGTCTGAGAAACACGCTTCTGTTTTTTTCTTCCTTTCACTCCTATGGTAATTCCCAAAAATAAAGCAGAGAGGGTCTTTCAGGCCTAATGTATTGAAATTACATCACAGTGGATATCAAGGATTCGGGCTAAAGTTTAATTACCCTAATTACCAAGAGTCAATACATATTTTCAGTCTCTTTGCAAACATTACTGTGTGTTTATCACAATGAGCAGGTAAATATTAAATAATTTCAGCAATAGAAAAATAATGTTTAGTTTGAGACAAATACCCTTGCCCATAAAACATATTAATACAAGAAGTATTTAATTGATTTCATTTTTGTGTAGTGCTGTAGTGGTTGGGTTGTCTATATAATGACTTACACTGCTCTGTATGAACTCAATAAACTATGAATAATAATTATTATATTTGTTTGCATTGTGCAAACTGCTTTAAGTACATTTATAAGCTGATATATATGATAGCTACAAACGGAAATACAAAAGTGACGCATTAATTTGAAAGTCTAAATCAGGCTACTTCCGGTTTTTTTAAGCTGCGGACTTCACTTCACTTCACGCACAGTCTAAACATGCGTGTCATATCTACGATTGCAGACGTATACCGGGACGCGCATTCGCCCTTGCTGATGTGTGGGTCCTCTGGAGGTCTACAGGTGGTCTGACTGTATCATCTGTTTTTCTCTTCTGATTATCTGATTGGAATTAAAATCAGCTGATTATCTTTTATCCGGCATGCATCCGTCTCGGTAAGACAGATCTTATTCTTCCCCTCAAACTCCTACATCACGCTCCTGTTGTTTTTACTCTATTTACCTGTGATGTTTATATTTGGCATCACCTACACTAACTCTTTTAGAAATATGTGCATTCAAACTGCATGCCTCCAGTTGTGAGCACGATTTAGATCCACACACCTGTTGATGAGACCCAGCTTACAGAGAGGATTTAACAGGCAGGCACAAAGGGGAGTAGGCAGACCAATATTTGGTGACACATATTAGGTCTCTTCTTCTTGTGTTCTGAACTGGACAAAAAATGCTTCAGCACTGAAGGAATAAGATCCATTATTTAATATCCCAACGCCATTGAGAAAGTTGCTTCTAAAACTCTTAAATTCTTTTAATAACTCAAATAAAGCAGTGCTTACTACCTTGATTTATTCACCTAGAGCTCCAGCCAACACTCATATTTTCCAGGAACCTGTTTGTGTGACGTCTGAAGTCAAATCTCCGAGGCCCCTCTGCCTCCAGTAAAGCATGTAAGGCAGTGAAGCACACTCAGATTGATGTCATACAGAATTACATGAAGCTCAAGTATGCAGTAACTTGCTAAAAAAAAAAAAAAAAACCTTTTTCATTTTAAGGATATGTAGATGAATCATCTCATTTTCAAGGGAGTCTAAAAACAGAACATACAACACAAGTGACACAGACACTAGTGAAGCCTCATAGAGGAGGGGGCAGGAAGACATTACTGTTGGAAGCAGTAGCCGGGCGATTTTAAGAAATCATAATAATGAGTTTTAAAGGTAAATTATTCAAATTATTCCAGTCAGAAGGAGCTTTAAATTATTCCAGCACGTCTGCCGATTTCTTTTTTTGGCATTTGACACGAGGAAAAAACTGGTTGCTGGGTGTGTCTGAGAGTGAGCATGAGGATGTGTGTTGTATGAGATATTGTTTTTTAAAGTAGTTAAAGTAGCATACATGGAGCAGTGATGTGAAATAAGTTGTTGTGTAGATTGTCCTTGGTTTTCTCTGACCCTGGGGAATTGATAATGACTTTTATTTGACAAAAAGTGATGATTACATAAGCCATTTTCACATTATGCACTGCGGAAAATATCTAGATAATTTCAGGAGGACTGCTCCGGAGATTCTCCTGACCTGGTTGTTCACACATGCACCTCACAGCGGGAGATAATTCTAGGGGTCCGGGGTGAAATCCAATGGAAAATATTGGGCTGCTTGCATTCACACATACAGCTCCTCATCTTAATATCAGGAGATTTTCTGCAGGTGTGAAAGCCCTAATATGTGCTTCTTAATGTTTGTCAGTGTTTCCAATTGACCAAGCTCTCCAGATACAGAATGCTTAAAAGGGATGTAAATTTAAAAGACAATTTCCACAGATTCACTGTTTATACACAATTTACATTAAATACATTTTACAGACCATTCTGCAAGTATTAAGACATATAGGCCAGGTTCCTGCATTATACTGTCAGTATGACAAGTATTTTCCACCAGATAATTACTTGAGTGTATTCAACCTTACTATTAAAATTAGACAAAATCTTTTGTTTGAAAAAAAACCGAATGAAAAGCTTTGAGCCGTCTTAAAACTGCATCTGTGTATTATTTCTTTTTATGAGAACTTCAGTCATACTGAGTTTTCATTTTTCTCATCTGCCACCAAGGGGCAGCAATGAGCTCAATTTACATGAGATATTTTCTTTATTGGAACAACTTCCAGTTTGATTACATGATTCTGGCATTTAAAGGGTTAAATTCCTGATAATTATTCAATATTTGATCGTTTTGAGCAGGGCTGAAGGAATAAATATCAATCTGTTCTATTTTTATAGCAGTTTTTTGGAAGTGGACATGTTTGTCCTTAGTGACTTAAGACTGTAGTAAATTAAACTGATGCCTGAGGGTTAAATACCTCGGAGTACCAATAGATAATTATCTCCGTTTTGGACAGCACACCAGTGACATCCAAAAAAAGAGCCATCAAAGACTGTCAGCCATCCACAAACTGAAAGGACTCTATGTTGCCTCCCCACACCCAGACTAACAGAACTCAATAACAGGGCCGTCACACGCTTTGCAACCTTAATAGAACAGGACATCCCACACCCACTGAACCCTCACCTCGCCCCACTTCCCTCAGGACGGAGGTATAGAAGTGCAGAAATGCTCGCCTCGGGAGGAGCATGATCCCTGAGGTTGTAGGGGCCTGTCGCTGAATAGGCCAGAGTGGGACCTCTTGACTTTTTGTCTATTCTGTTCGTTTGTGTTATACTCTGTTTTTCTGTATGAATGTTCTTTTGTGGGACTTTTCTGTTTGGACAGTAACGGTGCTGTGGAAAAGAATTTCCCCTCTGGGACAATAAAGTCTAAAGTCTTCTACCACTCCTCGATCAAAGCAGCTTGACTTGACACAGTTAGAAAAGCAGTAGACGGTGTTTTCAGTAATGTTTTCTGTAGAGGAATCAACCTGCTGTCAGACAATCTGTCTTTAATTACAATCTCGTGTGTGTGAGAGAGAGAGAGAGAGAGAGAGAGAGAGAGAGAGAGAGAGAGAGAGAGAGAGAGAGAGAGAGAGAGAGAGAGAGAGAGAGAGAGAGAGAGAGAGAGAGAGAGAGAGAGAGAGAGAGAGAGAGAGAGAGAGAGAGAGAGAGAGAGAGAGAGAGAGAGAGAGAGAGAGAGAGAGAGAGAGAATAATACAGAGAAAGAAATAAAATTACTTAAAACCTCATATTTTAAACATGGAGACCTTCATATATTATAACAGATGGCACATTCAGATCATGCACATTTAGAAACACACACATTTTTTTGTTGTGTGTGATTTTAATCCAACAATCATCAACTCTCATTTTTCTTTTCCCTCACTCGCTTAACTCAAACTTCAAAACATCTGAATTGCAAAATTAGCATGTGGCTCCTCTCCAGGTCAGGTGTATCGTGCATATGAACAACACTTAGACACCATCTTGGCCTCACCATAGCAACCCCCCCCCCCCTTCCTCCTCCCCACAGGTTCTTAAGCAGGCTTTTAGTTCTATCCTTAGCCTCCCCGCCCCTCATGTCCTCTCCTCGCTCCTTATTCCCCCTCTCTCAATCCAACCCCCCTCCCTTACCCATGTGCCTGATTACTGACTGCCATTTTCCCCGCGGCTCCTTTGTAGTGTATGACCCGAGCTTCAGAGAAAGTCGCTGCACACACATTTAAACGTACATTATTACTGAACTCCTGGTCTGACTTGACTGGTCAGACCCCATCTGGAATATTCCCGTCCAGCTTTTTCCGATTTCTTTGGACCATGTTTCCTGAATATGTAAGTAGTGAACTTAATAGATGTGGCAAACTGGTGTAGAGTGGAATTAATGTGAAATTTGAAGTAGAACTTTTAGGGAAGGATAGAAAATCGATGAGTAGATTAATGATTGTTCATCCGTTGACATTAATCAATCAATCAATATAATAAGTGTTATCTCGAGACACTTTACAAAAAGCAGGTAAAAGACCTTACTCATTGTTATGTTACATAAAGCAGGTAAAAGACCTTACTTATTGTTATGTTACAAAAAGCAGGTAAAAGACCTTACTCATTGTTATGTTACATAAAGCAGTCAACAACTATTGGACTGTTTTCTGGTGTTCTATAAGTAGTAGTTGTATTTCTTGTTATGCCATTAACTGGAAAAGTTCCCAAATTGGTTGCCATTAAACTTAAAGGACTTGTGCATTGTGCCTATGATATGTCTTGGCATGTATTGTGTTTCTTGTCATCTATTGCTTCAATCTTGGGATGTAAACAGACTTATTTACAATGGTCTTAAAATAGCATTCTTGAAAGTGACCAACCTTAAAGTGTGTGTTTTGGACTCAGTGATATCCAGGTCTTAATTTGGAAAATAACCATTTCAACTCTTTCTAATTTAAAATGTATCTAAAAGTGTGGGCCTTTAAATTCTCATTCATAGCTGCAAGTCTTTCATAATTATGTGAAAAGAAATGGCTTCATCATGTCCTCTTTAACCAGCCCTTAAGCAGCCATGTCACTCAGTTGAGTTTATTTAAAGCCAGCCTGATTGAGCTTCTGGAACTATTTCTTTGTGCTATGGCTTTCGAGATTTAAAACTGCTGCCATGGCCATTTTAAGAATCATGCTGATATTGGGTTATGAAACATTTGCTGGAGAAAAAAAAACCTGGCACATTCTTCAAAAATTGGAAATGAAAATGGAGAGGTGATACTTCAAAGTGAGAAGTTGTGAAGAGAAGACAGCTAAAGGGATTAAAAGGCAGTGATTTGGCCTCTAGTCTAGTCATCATGGCTTAAAAGCCTTCTAAGCTCGATAACATTCCCCTTTGTATCACTTGTTGAGAGTGGTCAGATTAAACAGGAATGATTCACTTTGTTGTCGTTGTTTGCTGATGATAAAAAATCATGATTGCTGGTGATTCAGGCTAGCTTGATCAAATGTATTGCTGCTAATTTCAGTGTTGTGTTTTTTAAAAAGGTTTCAACTTACTGTTTAGCATTTTACCATTTTAGAAGCCAAACAATCTCAGACCTAAATAGAGAACCCCAGAATTGTTGTTTCCTCACTTTAAGTGAATTTTGTGTTTATAAAAAAAAATGAAAAATATGAATTGGGTATCTTTTAATAAATGTTGTTTTGACTTTGCTGTCGTTGGAATTTTTTAAAGGCCTTTTTAAATGCGTCCTTGGCCGCTCCACTTAATACATCCAACTATGTAAAATGTTGTTCTTAGCATCCATATCAGTGTTCATGAAGCTGCATTTGATGTCAGTTTCCATTATGTTTGAATAAAACTAACACAAGTCTGAAGATCTTTTGTCCCAATAGTAAATCTTCTCTTCCTGTAAAACTGTGATGGATGTTTTTGGTATCACTTTCAGAGAGACAAAAAAAGTTTAGATAGGAAGAACCTCAGAGGTAATTTCATCCCGAGTCTCCATTTATGTTGGTCAGGTACCAAACGAATAACCAGGACTCTATCTAGTCGGAAATGTCTTTGTGCAGAATGCTGCTCCTGCTGTTGCAGAGTGACATTTGTAACACCCTTACGTGTAACGTAGTCTTGTTAGTGGATGTTCTGTCCTGAATCCTCAAGTCAAACACCCTGATTAGGATTCATGACCCATGAGTGTGATTAGCGAGTGCTTTGAAAGAAAAAGCAAAAGGAAATTCAACCCATAGAAGAGATAATGAAATGAAAATTTTTGTTAATTTATTTGATGGTAAATGCATCATTCCTATACTGTTGCACATACTATATTTAAAGGAAGAATGTGCAACTTTTTGATCCAGTAGATGTCGCTCTTGACACCCAGCATGAAACCAAAACAAACTGAATCCTCTGCTCTCCTACATCGACACGCCTCCAACCCCTCTCCCCTTGTGTTTGCAAAAATTAGTTATCAAATTGGAACACACCTTGATTTAGCACTCAGTGCTAGCAGCGGACACAATTGTCCTTGTCTCGAGCTGCATTGTTGTGTTAGCATGCTAATGGTAGCACTCTGAAGTTAGCTTGTAGCCTCACATTGCATGTACAATTACACAGTATGACCATGATCTACAAATGCTGACCTGACATTCAAATAAACAGTGGGTACAGTATGTTATTCTTCTTTTCTCTAGTCCCTCAATTAAACAACTTTTATACGCAAGGCTGTACCGTCCATGTAAACACGATGAACTATAGTCAAATGCCTCTGTGTGATACATATGGGCAAGAGGAGGGCTGATAAAACATTCCTCCTGTGACTCACCTTCTTTTTTAATTCTGTGTGTCCCTCAGGTGTGTGTGAGATCGCAGCATGCATTCGGTCCAGGAAGGGATGTGGGACCCCCAGCCCCCGTCTAAACATGCCTCGCCCCTCCCCCCAGCACAACCTTCCTCCTCCAGCCTACACCGCCCCCATGTGATCGCAGACACCCCAGCAAAGCGAATCACCTTTTACAAAAGCGGGGACAGCCAGTTCGGGGGCGTCAGGATGGCGGTGCACAAGCGGAGCTTCAAATGCTTTGACGCTCTGCTGGATGACCTTTCGCAAAAGGTCAGTCTCACGGGGTGCCAGAGTTGTGATGTACACTTTTTTTTTAAGTTGAGTGCTCATCCTCAGTTATACAAATGAATAAGCTCTACTTCCTGAAATTTAACCTGCTGAAAAACATTCATCCTATAGCTTTTTGAAAGTCTCTTTTCAGATGTATTAGAATTTAGGATATGTTATTTTAACTGTCATGAATGTTGAACAAAGATATAGATATGTACTGTTAATAGTCTAAATGCATGTTTGGGTTCATATCCAGGTGCCGCTGCCATTTGGTGTGCGAACTGTGACAACTCCGCGGGGCACTCATACTATCAAACACCTAGAGCAGCTCCAGGATGGTGGCTGCTACCTCTGCTCTGACCGACGCCAGGCTAAGCCAATCAATATGGAGCTAGCCAGAAAACATCCGGGTATCTGGTACAATGATACCCGTAGGCCACATCGTCCAGAAACCTCATCCTCGACGGCAACCGCGCATTTTCCTTACCGGCAGCGTCGGATCCTATTGGTCAAAAACAGCGAGCCGGGGATAAGGAGGAGTTTGGTGCTGAGCAGGAGGTCAACGAGGAGCCTGAGGGCCTTTCTTGATGAGGTTTCAGAGGTGATGCAGTTTCATGTCCGCAAGCTCTACACTGCAGAGGGACGCAGGGTGAGTAGTGGATAGATAATGAATCATAATCCAGAGTGTGTTTTGTATTGTTGACAACACCCTTCAATGCTGAAAGTCTGGACACTGCTTTTTTTTTGGTTTTCTAGATTGAGAGTGTGCAAAGCCTGATGACTTGTTCTGGAGTGTTGGTGTGTGTTGGCCGTGAAGCCTTCAGCCCAATGCTCGTCAACTTCATCAGGAAGAGCTCAGATGAGCGACTGCCTGGTTTGAACAGCAGGTCCCCCGGTCTTGGCCCCAGGACGCCTGGGAATGGGGCCCGATCTCCTGGTACTCAAGGATTAAGATCCCCACCTCATGGAGCTCAGTCCAGAGCCAGCGAGTACAGTGAAGTGCATGAAAGCAGGAAAAATGGTTAGTTGCACAGACATGTATGCAGGCATAGGTTTTTTAAGTTCACAAAGACCAATACCCAATTAAGAACCTTGAAATACACAACAATTTCTACGTTTTCTGAGTTTAACTTTGGTGTAAAAGTTAAAATGTAACATTTGCTTTTCTCTTCTCAGTTAACTTTGGTCTGGAAACAAAGAAAAGCATCATCCATCCTCGTTCAGATTCCTCAAACCGCTCTGCACGCTTCTCCCTGTCTTCAGAGAAGTCATATGGCAACGGTGTTAGTGCCTACTCCCAGGCCAAGCCGGCCATCATGAATGAAGACATCGAAAAGCGCGTCCTGGTCAATAAAGATGGCAGCCTCTCGGTGGAAATGAGGGTGCGATTCCGCCTACACAGTGATGAAACCCTCCAGTGGTCGACACAAATCAAAAAGTCACCGTCTCTGACCAATGAGTGTTGCCCGCTGAGCCAGGCCCAGCCTCATTACCTGCAGCATGGTCAATCAGAAAGCTGCTCTGACCCTGATTCCGCATCTTACGAGCAAGAGGGCGTGCATTGTTCAAGCCAAACTCTGCAGCACGCGGCAGATGGAAATAGCTGCCCTTGCTGCTACCAGAGACAGGAGCAGCAGTATGACTTCTGGGAAAACCCTGTACACAGCTGCAAACCGCCTCCTGTCCCTCCCCAGCATGCACACAGCCACAGCCACACCATGATGAGACACACACATTCTTCCAGCTCGTCCTCGTCGTGTAACTCAAGGAGGGTCGTGCGTTGCCGAGCGCGACTTTCCAACTGCTCGGGTACAGAAAAACAACTGGTCCAAGAGGAAATGTGTGTGACAGAGCAGGTTGAGCGTAGAGTGGAGGTCGAGCAGGATGGAGGAACCCACGTAGAGGTGTGCAGGGTGAGCCGATGCTCCAGCCGCAGTGAAGTAGTGGCCGCAGATAGCAACCTGCGACCACATAGCGGAAAGTCAATAGAGGAGGATGTCCTGATGGAGGTAGACAGGGAGCGTCCCATATCTGCAGTGAGCAGCTCGTCGCATGTTCTGCAATCGCTGAAAGAGGACCAGGATGATGCCCAACCCACTGGGCATGAGGATGGGGAAGAGAGTGGAAGCCGGGTAGTATCCGCGGCCTCATCCTGTCACTGTGGAGAAGCCACCGTAGAGGACGTGGATCGAGCCCCCAGTTCCAAGTCCAAAATGAGCACGGCCTCTTGCAGATCTAGCAAAACCAAGATCCAAAATTCAGAGGATGATGGAACCGCAGATGACGAGGATGACGAGATAAAGAGAGTTGGGAGTAGTTTATCTGGTCACACAGGAATATCTCTGCAGTCAAGGGCTTCCAGTGTATGTCCTGATTGCGGTGGGTGCAAACGGGGGAGCAACTATGTCTCCTCAAAGCCTGCTACACCTCAATCCAACCAAGTGATTGCCAACAACGGCAGTGAAAATGATGGCTCAGATTTCTCGACTCAGTCCAACAAGACCAATCTCACCAACAGTGGGCGCATCTCTGCGATATCCAATCTCCCAGAGGACAGAGCCTCCAGTGCTACAAGTCACAGGTCAGAAAGATCAGATAGAGATGGGCATAGGAGCCCCAGTGCTAGGTCCGCCAAATCTGGTAAGTCTCAAAAGTCCAACTGTACAGCTAAGTCATCAGATGTCAGGACAAGAAAAGAAGCTGAGGGAGAGAATTCTGGAGAAAGAGCACTTAGCGCCTTGTCAGCCAAATCTCATGTGTCTTCAAAGACCAGTGCTTCAGTCAAGGTAAGCCTCCAGGCTGCCTCCCCAACAAGTAATACAGCTGTTGAAGAGTATAACACCAACAATAGAACTTCAAGCGCCCTTTCTGTTAAGTCCAATGCCTCTGCCAATTCTGGCAAGGTAGATAGAAATGATAGTGTCCTATCTGCTAAATCAGCTAAATCAAATGTGTCAGTAAAGTCCGGCACATCTCATAGGTCCAAATGCAGCCGCTGTTCAGGGGCAGTATCTTCAGGGGATAAGGCTGAGAAACCTGACAGTGCGGTACAAGAAGAAGAAATGGAGGCTGAGGAGAGAGCAGGAAGTGCCATATCAGCCAAGTCCAATCTGACTGCCAAATCTAACAAATCCCACAAGTCCAAAGCTTCTGAAAGGTCGCATTCTCCCAGATCTGAAACCGGAGGAGATGGAGAAAAAAGGTCCGCAAGTCAAATGTCTGGCAAATCTGTTAATTCTAACATGTCAGCGAAGTCTTCAAAGTCATGCAAGTCTAACAACGATGCCAGGGAAATTGCAGCACCTTCAAAAGACAAAGAGGGGGTAGAAAATGAGATGGTGGAGGAGGAATCGCAGCAGAGGTCAGAGAGCGCAATGGCCGCAAAATTGGAAAGTGATGAGAGGTCAGCCAGTGTAACATCCTTTAAATCTCATAAGTCCAAGTGTGATGAGAACACAGGAAATGGTTCAGAAAAAGGGGACAATGCAGGGGATGGTGAACAAGACATGGACAGGGTAGTGAGTGCTTTATCTGGTAAATCAGTGTCAGGGAAATCCAACATCTCTGCAAAGTCCTCCAAGTCAAGGTCTCCAAATCAAAATGAAGTTGAAGAGCGGGTGGCTAGCGCTATGTCTTTGAAGTCAACATCTTCAGTAAGAACCAGTAAATCTCACAAGTCAAATTCAAGCAAGAATCCAAAATTAGTGTCACCAAGTCTAAATGTGGTCACCATTCATGCACCAGAAGGGCCTGATGGAGAAGGAAATGAGACGATGGAGAGAGCGCAAAGTGTTGCATCTGCTAAATCTGTAAAATCCAATGTTTCATCTGCTTCACTGCATAAGTCTCGCACTGCCGATATTGCTGTCGATGAAACTGTTGAAACTGCAGATGAAGAGAATACAATTGTGATCCACTCACCCAAACCTCCATCTGAATCACCCAGCCATGCTCATTCCCGTGCGCAACAGTTGTTGCCTTGTCTGGAGACAAGAGGGCCAAGTGCCTTGTCAGTTCATTCCAAGACTTCTGCTAAATCTGGTCGATCCAAATGTCGATGTGGAGCAGCGTCAACACTAGAAAATGCAGAAGAGTTGCAAAGTGAAGAGGGTTCTGAAGTGGCTTGTAGCATACTGTCAACCAAAAGACAGAGGAGGGAATCAGGAGGTACTGAGCTACCACTGAGTCAGAACTCAGGATCCGTCTCTCTTGGGTTACCGGAAGACACAGAAACGGGCGACTCAGACAGTGGCAAGTCCACTGTTTCTTTTAACATGAACACTGAGAGTAAAGGCAGAGTGAAGACAACAACTCCTGCCACAAACACAAAAAAGACATCCATGAAGGAAAATGTGGAAGGAAGAGGGTCCACCCGGTCTAGAAAATCCAATAACAATGGCAACAAAAGCATTACACCTCCCAAAACTCCAGCAGTAGATATCCCAACCATTGAAACACCAGGAGGGATTGAGGATAAAGGTGAAGATGACCTTGAACCAAGATGTGAAAGGTCCACTTCAACAGCTAAAGTTAGCAATGCAGATGTCCCTAACCATAGGACCCCAACTGCGATGTCATCAGCAAGTGCTAAAGTTGGCAGCAAAACTAAAAGTAAAAATCAAGCACCCAGTAGACCAGCTAGCAAGACTGAAGGGGAAGAAGATAACAAAGCTGCCAGTGTCCACTCCAAGAGTCAGTGTTGTCTAATGCCTGAGTCGGCAGCTTCAGCTCACTTAGGGTCAAAGGTTAAGGAGAGTATAGGAGGGGATCCAGCTAAACCAGACTCTATGGATGCTGTTAAAAGTCCCAAGGCCAAATCCACTGGCAGCGTCAATAGCAGGCCCCAAAGCAAATTAGCACTGATCAAATCCTCAAGCCCCTGTCCCTTACACAACTCCAGACCGTCCAGCAAAGAGGAAGATTGTAGTGAGAGCACTTTGTCTCACTCACTGTCAGCTGCCGACCTCTTAAAGGAAGCCATCGCTGCACGTCCACACAGCCGTCAGTCAAAGGCCAGTAAAGCCAGCGGCAAGACAAGGAGCGAGAAATGTCAGAGAAGTAGGAACCAGAGGGGTCATGTGGAGACGCCGGATTTGACGCCCGCGTGTTTGCCTAATGCCTCCCCGAATGAGGTCGTTAGTGAGTGGCTGGCAAGCATCCCCACTGATAGTAGCATGCTCACACTTGGAGATGAGATGAACGAGGATGAGGATTTGCTCGTTGAGAAGGCGATGGACGAGAAACCTGGAGAAGAGGTGTCAAAGGAAGAGGAGAGTCCTGAAGAAGGGAGAGTGGACAATGGGGAGAATGTGGAGGCCAAAGAGGAAGAAGAAGAAGAAGAAGAAGAAAAAGTGGAGGAAGCTGAATCGGATGCATTAGATGAGAAGTGTTTGGATCAACCTCCGGGTGATAAAGTGGCAAATTCATCTTCCCACAACCATCTATTGTCGAGCAGGGAGTCTTTGCCGAAGAACTGGCATTCTTCAGCTGCGGTGATGAAAGTTCTACTGGGCTCTTCTCTCGGACGATGTCGGAGCATGCCAGAGGTACGCCAATAACTTGATATTTATAACTGGTGGTTACCCTACACTAACCCAACAAGTTTTACTATAATATGAACCCTTTAAATTGAAGTCATCTCTTACCAAATAAAGGCCTAAGTCCATGTTTTTTTTGACTGATTGCTTGTTCTGTTTTGGCAGCTCCCATTTTATGAACAACCATTCTCTGAAATTGACATTGTTGGCGCTGCAGAGCAAAATAAGCCACAAATGGACACTGGCCCTTTGTCTTTAGGTAATGAACTGGTCAAACAAAGAGTGATTATTTTTCAGTTTGGCAAACCAATACATACAAATAATTATAGCAAGATGTAAAAAGAAGGGGCACACTGGTGGCGCAATGGTTAGGGCGCACGTCCCATGTATTGAGACCCTCGTCTCAAGTGGTAGGCCCAGGTTCGCTTCCACCCGTGGCCCCTTTCCACATGTCATTCCCTGCTCTCTCTCTCTGGTTTCCGACTCTATCCACTGTCCTCCCTCTGCATTAAAGGCACAAAAAGCCCATAATAAATCTTAAAAAGAAAGATGTAAAAAGAAGGGCTTAGTGAAGAAAAACAATTTTACAGTTACATAATCTGTATCTCTACTGTCTTCTGTAGGTGTCTCCAGTTTATGGTCGCCGACTGAGCACATCAGCCAGGGGGCTCTTGGACTGTTTGGCCCAGCTTCAGCTCATCGAGCCCGCAGTGGGTCCTGAACGTGACTGCCAAAAGCCCCACAACCATCATTATCAGGACATCATGACAATCCTTCAATCTCTCTGGCTGGCTGAACCGGAGAACATCTCGACCAAGGACTCTGGCGGAGATCAGATCACCCCTCCAAGGTCTTCCTCCGGGGTCGATATGAGCAGTGGTTCTGCTGGATCAGGGAAGGAGAATGGAAATCAGGGTGAAGATGAAACTAATAAAATTGAAGCTAAAGAGACTGAATCTTTACATGAAGATGAGGAAGTGGACAAGGTTGCAGATGTGGAAGATGGAGAAAGTGAAGAACCCAAGGAAGCTGAGACAGAGCCAGAGGAGACCTCAACAGAGCAGTTCAAGATAGATACAGCAGAGCCGGTAACAAGTGAAGAACAAAACACAGTCCCTAACCCAAAAGCCACTGAGAATCCTTCATCATCAGAAAAGAGCTCAGCTAACAGCAGCTCTAAATCCCCCACTGATAATGAACAAGAGACACTTGAGGACTCTAGCTCAGGAACGCCACCGACTGTCCTCAGGGCACCACTTGCTAAAAAGCTATCCCAAGACCCCGATCCGGTGTGGATTCTACACCTCCTGAAGAAGCTGGAGAAACAGTTCATGAACCACTACATCACTGCAATGGCCGAGTTCAAAGTCCGCTGGGACCTGGACGACAGCCTCATCTTGGACACCATGATCTCCGAGCTGAAGGACGAGGTGAGCCGGCGCATCCAGAGCAGCATTGAGCGCGAGATGCAGAAGATCCAGGGTCGGGCCGGCAAAGGGGGAAGGTCGCCTAGGCCACCGATGGGTGGGAATCTCTCCAGGGAGTCCACCATGACGGAGAAAAGACGCCGAATGTTGAAGGTAATTCCGCTGAAAATATGAATCATCGATTAATGGGTGTGTTTGGCAGAAATGTAATGTTTGATTTATTTTTCAGGTCATGAAGAACCAATCAGTGAAGACCGCTGACTCACTCAGCGATGGAGAAAACACGGCGGACTTCAGTGACCAGAGAAGCGATGATGAGTACTGCCCCTGTGATGCCTGTGTCCGCAAGAAAATGGCCGCCAGGCCTCTCAAAACAAACCCATTGGCGGCTGAAGCGCCGGTGATGATGGAGTTCGACCTCCTCAAGATACTGCAGCTTAAAAAGAGCCCGTTTCCAACGCCTGCCGCCGTGCCGCAAGTCGACGTGGTTGAAGAGGGGGAGGGGGAGGGGGAGAGTAATTTAGAGGTGGTGGAGGAGGAAGAGGAGGAGGATGAAACCAAAGAAGATATCAAAGCCGATGTCGTTTTGGAGGAGACGATCCCAGAGGAAGATGAGGAAATGGAAGAAGAAGAAGAAGAAGATGGGGCAAAAGAAGAGGAGGAGGTAGAGGCTGATGAGGTGCAGGAAGAGGAGGAAACAAGTGGTGAGGAAGCTAGGGAAGAGACCTCAGAAAATGTAGACGAGGAGGAAGAGGCAGAATGTCAGTGCCAGTCTGCAATCGATGAGGAGAGTGATGAAGAGGAGGGAGAGAAGCAAGCAGGAGGGGAGGAGGAGGAAACGAGCAACAACACAGGTGAAGATGAGACAGAGGAAGGGGAAACAGCAGGTAACGAGGAAGAGACGGGAGATGGGGAAGAGGAGGAGGACGGTGATGAAGAGGAAACGGCAGGTGAAGAAGAGACTACTGAAAATGTCGATGGTGAGGAGGAGGAGGAGGAGGAAGGGGCCGAGGAGGAGGAGTGTGAGGTGTCCGACTCCAAGCCTGAAGAAGAAGAAGGTGAAACAACTGGAAAGGAAAGTGAAGAAGAAGAAGAGCCAGCTCGGGAATCAGAGGATGAAAAAGAGGCGGCAAATGAAGAATCAAAGCTGGAAGAGGAGTCTGTTGAAGAAAATGGCGGCGCTTCAGGAGAGGCGGAGGATGAAGATGACGGGGATGACGGCACAGGAGAAGAAAAGGAAGGCGAAAGTGGAGAGCAGGAAGTTGAGGCTTCAGAGGAGGAGAGAACATCACCACAGGTAGGATGAATCATATACATACAGAATTCATACAGTAAATATTCTTAGGCCGGTCGTTCACTGTTTGAATTTCAGCCTCATTGTATGTCATTTGCCATGCAGAGAGCAGGGTGCAAGTAGAAATTTAGGTCATACACTTGCCTTCTCTTGCACTGTGGGAGAGCCACGATTGGATTCCCCAACTTCACTTTTTTGCCTGATTGTGCCTGTGCAAAAATGGCAATGTCTTCATCCTCCTATTACAAAAAGATAAAAAAACGAGATAAATATTTGCAGGAAATAGATGCCAGGGATTATTTGTTATGATTTAGCTTGCTAACTAGCGTTATTATTTAAGTTCAAACTAAAATATACATAAGTCTGACTTCCACTTCAGTTTGAGGAAGTTTTCAAGAAAAAATTAATTGACAATTGTCAATGATTTGTCCAAATTTAACAAGTACAGTGTGAGATGAAATTCCCCCACAACATTCATACAATCATACAGTGTATACCTAGCCTTATGCACAGAAATTATTATGGGAAGACAAAAAATAACACTTTTTTTGTGCGTCATCTTGACAAAAAGTTTGTGTTTTCAGCATTTAGCCCAACTTTCGGTAAATTACTTTGCTGGTCAATGTCACTTCTCAAATAACAACCAATCATAGTCTAGAAGGGGTGGGACTTCTGCATTTTTATGTTTTCTAGTTGTTGTTTTTTTGATGAAAGCAAATATTGAGCACACAGATCCATTTAAAAGAGACCTAATGGTTACTACCTGCATGTCATTCCCTACTCTCTCTCTCCCTGATTTTCGACTCTATCCACTTTCCTATCTCCCCATTAGAGGCACAAAAAGCCCGAAAAATAAATCTTAAACAGGAAGTTGAATAGCTGCCAGAGCTAAAAATGAAACGTCTTTCACTTTACTGACATAAGACTTACCTAATCCATGTATGAATGCTAGTTTGAGCACCAGCTATTTTTAAATACAGCTGAGTTCCTGAACATAGACGCAGGGTTGAAGTCGGCTACCTTAAAGAGAAATCTGACCTACTGTAGCCTGGCTGCTAATTCTAAGCCTATGGGAAAAGATAATCCCACTATCCAATTAGACAGACTGAACTAATGTTCTGTTTTGTTTAGCAACAACACACAGTCTGCATTTCTAATACTCCTGATTTTGACCACCTACTTTCATTATCGCTAAATAACTAGCATTTAGCTTTAATTGCTGATTCTAAGTTCCCCCTCGAAGAAAGCAATTTAGCTAATTACAACTCCTCAGAGATAATTTACTTTGCTGTTTAACCCTCAGGGCCAAGGGGTGACCGAGGGAGAGGAGGCCGATGCAGAAGATTCAGACACTGACGCCAAACGTCCAAGTGACACGAGTGTGGACGATTCAGGACAGGATGGGGCGGAAGCCACAGGAGAAGAAGAGGAGAATGATAGTGGAGGAGGCGGAGAAGGAGATGTGGTAGAAGAGTTCAAGCCGGAGGAAGGAGAGGAGGGAGATGTGGATGGAAACAAAAAGGAGGACGGGGCTCTGCTCCAGCAGTTTACCAGGACCTCTGTGGAATCCCAGCCCGGCTCCTTGGAAGACATCGACTCAGAAACCCAGAAAAACCACATGCAGTCCATAGTGGTGCCCAAAATGGCTGCTGGAGTATCTACTGGTGGTGGCTCTGGCAACAGGAGGAGTCGCTCTCCTGCCAGAGTGAAACGCTGCAAACCCAAGACGAGCGATGTTGAACTGGGTGACTTTTAAAATCGTACAAAAACAAAAGACTTAAACACTTCAAAGCACTTTATCATTCAAGATCAGATGTAGGAGAAATCACATATTTACATGTAGAATCTTGAAACTACCAACTTATCATATTTTATTATATTTATATTAATGCTCTATCTATTTTCTAATGGTATGCTTAAAGGATATATATATTTCTGAACTGTTGTACCAATAAGGTATATTTTTGAAAACCAAAAAACACCCATGGGTGTATGATGTGAACTCAGTTTTATCTTCAGTCTACCATATGATTATTTATTGACTCATAGCCATATATACCAAGTACATATTGAGATCTGATCAATTTTGTTTCTGGAATAATTTGATAATTTTTTTGTTTTGTTTTTCCGGATATTGTGTCTTTTTTCATCTGTGCTGTATTCTCAGGAGGTTTGGACAGCCAGTCTGTTTCTTAAAGGTAATCTCCTAGGTGTTACTTAACCACCTGCTTAAAGCTATAGTTGGTAGAAATGACCCCTGATTAAATCTACTCAAGCTCTATGATGTAACCTGATAACCTTACAGAAAAAATCTGACATTTACGGGAATGTACTTGTCTGCTTTTTCTTTCTACGAGCTAGACGAGAAGATCGGTAGCAACATGTGTCTGCTTGGTAAATATGAAGCTAACAGGTTAATTTGGCCGACAAAAACATTGGAAATGGTCAATGGCAAAGTCAAAACTTCCAAAGAGAAAAACATACCTCTTAGTCATTTAAATATAGGCTATTGTGTTTAATTCATACAAAGACCAAGGTGTAAAAATCTTTAGTTGTAGAGTACAGTAATCTCATTGACATCGCCCATTGGTTTCTGAAGCGCAATTTGAAGCCCAATGATAGTGGTGGTCGTATTGGAATTGTTGTTTCAAACTGACTTTCCGGTCAACCTAGCAACAGGCAACGAGGCAGGCCGTTAGCTTCCCGGCAAACAGTTACAACACGCCCATCTGTTGGTCAGATTAGCCACGACCCTTATTGTGCACAACTTGAAGATATGAGCTAGCTAAAGAGCGCTAGCATTAGCATGCTAACACAGCAATGCAGCGCGAGTTGTTTTGGTTTCATTCTGGTGCTCAAGTGCGACATCTGCTGGATCAAAAAATCGCATATCCTGCCTTTAAACCTTTATATTTCTTCTGTCAAAATGGGCATTTTACAGTACGTTCTATTTACCTTGGAGCTCGGATCAGAGAATGATGTCACATCCAAGTTAAATGAAATTCCAGTTGTGAGTCAGCAGCAATGCATAAAAGCAAAATGGACGCCTCCAGGAGTAACTTTGTTTTGTTAGCTTAAGAACACACTACGTGATAGTTTGTGCACAAATAGAATTGGTTTAATTGTTTAATTTTACAAAAAGAGGACTAATATGCTGATAAACACCACAGCTTAAATTCGACTGTTGATGCAAGTAGCAGCCATGTTGGATTTTAGCTCGAGCTACTGAAGGTTCTCTGAGTTTCCAAGTCGGAATTTTGACTTCCTGGTGACGTATCAGAGTGGCAACTCCAAATTTCCGACTTCCAAGATTAAATGGAACACACTATGAAAGTGTATGTTAACGGCTCTGCAGCCAGCCTCTAGTGGACACTTAAGGAACTTCATTCTACTGCAATTCTACACTGGCTTTTTCCATCAGCGCCTAAGGTTCTACTGGATTAAAAAAACTATCTTTACAGTTGCAATTATTTTTTAATCATCCGGTCAGAAGCAAGCTAGCTGCTTCACTTGGCCTCTCCTTTTTTTTTTTTTTGCAAAATAGCTACAACTTGTGGCTTCATATCTTAGGCCGTGTTCACACTTGACTTATTTTTTCAGAAAAAAGCGCTGCCTTCAGCACTTTTTGAGCACTTTTGCGCGAGTGTTCCGTAACCTTAACAACGGGATCTAGTCTGCGGTGCAACCATGCAGGAGCCGGCCGGAGCACAACGCATCAATTTAGCACAGCGGGACGAAAAGAACAAGCGGGATGGGAAGTCAGACACCAATACAACATTAAAACATCCTGTTTATTTTCAGAATAACACCCTCCATTTTAATGGTTCAGAAAAACGACCGTATGTGTGTTTGTTTCCATGTTTATAAGGTTTTTATTGAGTTTTTAAACCTCCTCCTTTTTCCATTGTTGGCTTGTATGTAAAAAAGACGCTGGCAGTTGAAAAAAGAAGTCAAGTGTGAACACGGCCTTAGCATGCAGACATGACAGTGTTAGCAATCTTCATTTCCAACTGTTGTCAAGACAGCACATGATATATCATGTGTTTGAATATTAATCTCTTCTTTTAAGTTACTCTGGGAGAATATTCCACTCCAAAGTTATAAAGGACGTATTCAAATAAGCTGTATTTTGCTGTTTTATGATATTAGACGGTTTAATGTATGATGATGTCTTATAGACAACTTTTACTGTTCATGCATTTCTGTTGTTATTCTGTAAAAGTGCAAGCAAAATGTGACACTGAGCATCAGGATGACTGAAGATATTGGCAGTCTGAATTTCATGTTGAATTCAGAGTTCTTGGATGTGTGCATCATGCTGTAGATTGGTATGGTTAAGCAGATATGGAACACCAGCATGAAGTTTGTTACAGATGCCTTACTGTATCCATGGTGATATGAGGGTAGAGAACAGAGGGGAGGTTGTGTTTATGAAGCTATGTTTGGCTTAATGACATCATCGCTCTCGGTAAGAGGCTGTCCAGCGTAATCAGGGAGACGCTAGTATGCTCTTTGAAATGCTAAAAGAAACACTTTTTAGGACCCGCAGGAATGATCTTCTATCATATAACCCAAATCAAGCTGAGTCAGTCTTACTCCCGGTCTGTTTTCCAAATGGCCAGTGTGTTAAAGGCAGTGTGAATGAGACGTAACCTGTATTGTGTTACCAACAGAGCGGGTTTGTGAGTTCATGCGTGTGCAAGTGTGTGTGCCTATGCTGTGTCTGTGACATCACAAAGTGAACGTCATGTCTCTGGAGAACATGTATGTATGATGATGTTGTAAATAAAATAAAATGCACAGGATGGTGATTCTTTTATTCGACATGCTAAGTGTTTGCTAACTAAAAGGTAGCTCGGTTTGCTAATCTGCTAATCCACAGTGTGTCCTTTGAGAACCGCTTTTTATATAGATTCAACAAACGGCAGGGAAAGTCTCTTTATTAGTGCTTTCACACTTGCACAAAGCGCCTGACAAATTCCTGATATTTTCCGGGTGAGCTGCATGTGTGAACGCAAACAGATACATTTTCTCTAAGACTATTTCCGCGTTCCATTTACCTTGGAAGTCGGAGCTGGGAATGACGTCACACAGGAGTAAATTCAATTCAATTCAATTCAATTCAATTCAATTTATTTTGTATAGCGTCAACTCATAACAAGTGTTATCTCAAGACACTTTACAAAAAGCAGGTAAAATACCTTACTCTTTGTCTGTTAACATTACAAAAGAGCAGGTAAAAAGACCTTACTCATTGTTATGTTACAAAAAGCAGGTAAAAGACCTTACTTATTGCTATATTACAAAGACCCGGCCTATCCATCATGATAGGTGGTTCCAGTTGTCGGAAAAGTAACATGGTAGCAGCCATATTGGATCTGAACTCGGGCTACTGTAATGGTGCGTTCCATTTGATCTCGTAAGTGGGAAATTCCCAGTTCCCAGTCGTAATTACAACTCGGAAACTCAGAGGAAAAAAGGAGCCCGAGTTCAGATCCAATATGGCCGCTACGTGCATCTAAAGGGATGTTTAAGCTGTAACTGTTGAGCCACCCCAGTGAGAGTTCCTAACAACATAGAGTTTCACCTTAACTTAAAGGCGACGCCTGCTGGAACTATTTGTGTTTTGCACTTCCTAAACATGGCTCCTACAAGTGGTATATTTTTGATCACCCTCCTTTGCTCCTTTTGCCTCCCTGCTGTGATTGGCTCTGCTCCAAATGTATCCCAAAGCTGCTCAATTGGCCTCAAGATGCACACGTCACACTAATCCAGAACGTGTGTGTGTGTGTGTGTGTGTAGCTGCAGAAGGATTGAGGTTGATTTACATCACGCGGCCCGATGTGGGATGGGAGAGCATGTATTTCCAGACACAGTTACAGAACACGGGGTGCAAAAAGGCACAGAAACATCAAACACCATGTGTGTGGATTAAGTCCTTTATTAAGTTGTCAAAGTAAAACCTGACAAAGTTCAGAAGGTTATGTTTGTGCTTTCCATGAAGAAAATGCATAAAAAAACACAATTTGATATCACACTAGTTTAGACAGGCACGTCTCCACAGCCTCCCTGACGATTGGCTGCTGCTCCAAATGAGACTCCGCCTCCATGACGGTACAACCAGTCAGCAAACAGACCAGAGCAAGAGGCACCACCTACAAAAAAAAAAGGAAAATATACATCCAGCCACCGCAGAATAATTCTTCCATTACTTTATTCGTCCTCCTCACCTTGGTCCTGTTTCTGGCAGTGCGCGTGTGTGCGGTGATGTCAGAGGATGTGATGTCGATTGTGAGCGTGTCCACTTGGTAGAGGGACTTCAGAAGAGCTTCTTCACATTTGGACTCGGGATAACCAGAAAGCTTCTTCAAAATAAAAGCATACAAAAACAGACCTGATCAGTTTAGACTGTGGTCCTGAATATTCTGTTTTAGTTTTGACCAGAAAAGGGAGTCGGTTTTAAGGCACCCCCACACGGCCGTTCTGCCCCTCGCCTCTCAGTTTGCCTGTAAAACTACAAAAATATTGGAGTGTAACAATAAGGGTTGCTGTGTTTTTTACTTGAAAAAAACTGGTTCAGATAAGACTTTTGGCTCCTTTCCTGCATGTCATTCCCCTCTCTTTCCCTGATTTCCGACTCTATCTACTGTCCTATCTCTCCATTAAAGGCACAAAAAGCCCAAAAATAAATCTTTAAAAAGACTAAAAATTAAAGTCCACTTTCCAAAGACTTAAGAGAAGATATACCTTGACATAAAGTTGTGTTTCATGATGTGAACGCTCGCTCTTTCTGCTCAGTGAGATTGGTGAGAGAATCTACTCACTGCAGTCAGGTGTGTGTGTGTGACTGATTGGCTTTGATTAAGCTCAGGTGTGGGGAGCTTATATATACTCAGGGTCTCCAGTGCTCTGTGCTGACTCATTATCTCACCTTCAGAAGTAGTGAGAGTTTCTCCCAGTGTGTTCTTGTGTCGGCTGCCTGCCTGCCTGCCTGCGTGTGCAGCAGTTGCCTGACAACTCTTCTTTTTTTTTTTTTGCCATGAATCAGCTATAAAACTCACCATGACTTCTTCACAGTGTGAACACAAAAATAAAAGAAAGGCATCCTGAAGAAGAATGAGTTGAAGAGGACATAACTCAGTAATAAAGATTTAGGATTAAAATGTGTGGTTTTCTTCCCATTGAGGCAGCAATCATATATATACCTGGAGTAACCGAGTGGCTCTGCGATAGAGCTTGCTGTTAGTGACCTGCACATCGATCATGTCGTTCTGGTAAATCTTCCCCTTTAAGATGTGAGCTCCGGTGCTCACAGCATTCAGCAGCAGCTTAGTGGACAGCTCCCACTGCCGAGAGAAAGGATGCATGTACATAAGCAAATAAGGAAACATGAGAACAGAAACTAATAGATATGGAAGATGTGAAATAAGTACCAACTGAAAAACACATTTATAGCTTTATATCTGCAAAATTCTCTTTATTTAGAGTGGAAGACAAATACAGTAAATGAGGAAAAACTGTTATTTCTCATGTTGCACTGAGTCACTGAATCAATGTGTGTGTCCCTGTGCCTGTGTGTGTGCTGTACCATGTGGAGCAGGCTTCCAGAAGCAGGCGATGATGCCCAAGTGATTTTAAGTGAGGATGAACACAACCTATCGATGTCATCCTGCAAAAAAAGAAGGCAATGCAAACTTGAAGAAAATCCACAGATTGTCCTGCAGGCAGACTGAGAGAGTAAAGAATCATCACTTGTTGTTCAGCAGCTGCTCCATCAACCTGGTGATAAACAGCATGGATGTTTGACGTCTTTTCTCTCGCTCGATGTGCCAACTTTGCCACTTCACGGATGTTGTCTGCGGGGAGAATCAGTCGAGTCACATGCTGATGGGATTTGGATGGAACTCAAAAATGTGAAAAAAAAAAAAATCCTGTCTCACCAGAGTGCGTGTACAGAAGAAGAACTGTGTCCTGGTCATTTAGAGAGGGCAGAACTAGGTGCAAAAAATCCTTGTGTGTGACACGAAAGTCAGAACCCTGCAGGAAAAAATAGAATAGAATAGAATTTCTTTATTTATCCCAAACTGGAAAATTGTGGTGTTACAGCAGCAGGTTGTCCAAAAACACAATATTAGCAAATAAACACAATATAATATTAAATACAAAGTAAATAAGCACTAAAAATATCAAAACTAAGAACGAGAATATATACAACCAGGATTTAACTTGGCATTACTTCCAGTCTTAAATATGAGAAAATGTGTAGTAGTGTGCACACATTTTTTTGCACTCCTATGATTCATGTCAACATTTAAAGTAACAATATGGATGTGATGTATAAAAAATTTACAGTATTTTATGTACGATCTGAATTTATGATGATGCATTGGTTGAACTGAGTTTGCATAATGTGGATCTACTTTTATAATCTCCATGGAGACAACCCAGCAGCATAATAGAAATACTAAAGCAGATTAATTGCAAACTGACATCGTAGGGCAGGTGAAGTGAGATGTATTACATTTTAATCCTGCACTGGGTCAAGCTGCAAGCTCTGTAGAGGTAGATGTGTCATTACACGGTGCAAATTATGAGCTGGATTTCATTTTAATTGGATTTACATTTAGTATGCTGTAAGGATTTTCAGACTTATTTTAGACAAGCCGGAACAGAAATTAGCATGTTCTGGGTCAGCTGTAATGATAGCATGACTTGAAGAATGAAGAAATGTGAAATCCCATGTAGAGTTTTAGCTTTTTCATTGATTTAGGCCCAAGAATAGTGCCTTGTGTCAGGATAGAGCTGTTGTGCTCTATTTGCAAAAAATGTCTTATTCAATTACACAACTGACCATCACATCCTATTACAGAGACTAGAACAATTACGTGGAACTACAGAGACTGCTTTAAGTTGATTTAAATCCTATTCATCAGATATATCTCAGTTTGAGATTCTCAATAATGATACATCCTTTATGCACCATGAAGTTAGCCATGGAGTGCCACAAGGTTCAATGCTTGGACCACTTGTTTTTACATTATATATTCTTGAGGAAACACTCCATACATTTTCATTGCTGTTCAGATGCAGAGAGGTCCATAAAAAATAGAAACAACTTGTGCAAACTTTCTAACTCGAAATGGACTTATTTTCATGATTTGGTCTGGTTTAGTTTTGTTTTCCACAGTTCAGACGTATTTATCTTTTAGGTCTCATTCTTCCCTGGTGTTTCTCTTGTGTGTTTCCTAGTTTAATCTTCAGTGTTTCCTGTGTGATTTTGTAATTTCATATCCTTGTGTCCCACTATGTTCTAGTGTGTCTTCTTCGTGTGTTTCATTCATGAGTTTAACAGTAATCTGTCTTTTACTTGATTTACATTGTGATATTGTTTTTTTTACCTGACTGTATGCGCATTACTCTACTAGTAAACAAAAAAATGGGTGGATGCAGCTGGTTCAGGAAACGTAAATGACGCCACTTCCATGAATGGAATCAATGAACGTATCTTTGTAAGTTACACACTGTACAAGAGTTATCATGCAAAGTGTTTTAAATTGTGTCTCTGCACATACAGTTTTGTTTTTGAGTCCCTGAAGAATCAAGCTAAGGAGATTTATATGTTGCCAAATTGTGATAATTACAAAGACGTGTAAGCGGGGGTAGAAAGGGTGAAACACTTAAATTTGTTTGCGTGCGCGTGCCTATAAACGTCATGCCACCCCCTGCATAAGCAGTAGAACATTTTACCCAGAAGAAAATGTCTGGACACACCCCTATGCAGATGATGCTCAACTATACGTATCAATAAAGCCTGACGACACCAATTGGTTATGTTACATAACAAAGAGTAAGGACCTGCTTATTGTAAAGATAACATTTGCTATGATTCGGCGCTATATAGAGATAAAGATTGATTGATTGAAATACTTGTGTTGAAACAGACAGAAATGAATTGTCTCTCTTCACATACCAGTGAAGACAGGGGACCCTCATTGTTGTTCATCTCTCTGTATCCTCCACTGATGAAGCCTCGAACATCCTCAAAGTCTGACACACGCCCACACAAAGATTATACATCAAGCACAAACTATATAAGAACTACTGAATCTCTTATGTGTGATCTCACCTGCTCCAAACGTGGGGTTACACTCACTGGCGTCAATGAGGCCCAAGATGGCCACCGAGCCCCACCCCAAATAACACACACGCCTGCCACAACGCAAACTGAAACACATACAATAAACAAATTAATCAGAATCAGGGTTTACTTCCAAGTACATTTACACATACAAGGAATTTGACTTGGTGTATTGGTGCTAAACAATTAACAAGGAAATAAAGCAGAACTAGCAACAACTTAAATAATACAGTATAAGAAGATATTACAATATATAAAATAGAATTTAAAAATGTAAAATATAAAAATAAAAAATATATAATAAATAAAATGTAAAATAATATAATATATAAAAATAAAAACTGCATAGAAATCCATATTACATCATGTTACATGTGTATGATGTCTACAATAGTGTCTGTTTTCTGGGAGGATTGGCTCATACTGTATCTGTGTGGGCTGCCAGTTTTAGTAGATTAGAATTATTCTACCGCTGGGGGGGCTTTAGGAGCGGCTAATCCACCTTGACAAACACCATTATTGTTGGTTTCAGTAGAGTTTTAGATGCACTTCCACTTGAAACAAATACAAATTTTCAGCAGGTTTTCTATCATTTCTTGACATTTTTTATTTCAGTGTTTTTGTGATGTTTTCTTAAGAAGAAAGGGACCTGGACGCTGAAAAGCCTGGATGCTGCTCTGAATCAAAATCCACTCTGAGACTTGTTTGTTTTGTTGAATAAAATAAAAATCAAGGTTATAGTGAAGGGTATAAAAAAAAAGGATGTTTCCACCTTTGTCCAGCGGCCTCCAACAGAGCAGCTATCTCCGCAGTCTGGGCGTAGGTGATATCCAGAGTTTGCTTGTATGCTTCCATGTGCTGCAGGATGCCCCTTAAGAAAAGAAACACACACTGACTGACTGCATTTTTTATGTATTACAGAAAGGTACAAAGCTTGTACAAACTCTTTCCTGCATTGCCCTCTAGAGGTCAGCAGAGCCCAATGAAAACATAAAAAAAGGGGAACTGTGACAGTACCTGCTCCATGACTTCAGTTTGCACGAGGTGTGTGTGTTTGGTTTTTGTGTGAGTGCTGAGTGCTTTGTGTGTTTTGTTTCTGATTCTGATGCAAAGAAGAAAAAACGTAACCTGATGCTTATTCAAATACCTGCCGATGCAAACACATGCCACACATACATACAGAGAGTGAGCAGGCCGGAGGGCGCTGACATTTCTAAGTGCACTGATCACTTGAAATGTGAAAAGCATGTCCAGCAGACTTCATAGGTGACTGTTATAGTGAACCGTATGCAGGCTTGTGGCTGTCAACACAGACATGCACTTAGGAACGTGCATGTTGCTCCTCTGGGTGCAGATTCTACGGATGTTATGAGAAAACAAGGGGAGCAATAGTGTTGTTTAAAATAGAGAGTAAAAGCCCAGATATGTGAATCCTGTCTATACAGATCTATTATATACGTGTAACTATCTAATTTAACTGAAGTGCTTTATGCATATTCCTTAAACTTGAATGTATCTACACTTGGGAAATGTGTCTTTTCTGCTACCTTTTCTCTTCATATTTTCAGTGGTTTCTATAAAAGGTAGACATTAATGGTAATTAAAAGGTAGGACATAATTCAACATTTTAAGAAATACTCCCGCCTGAAGACAATCATCATTATAAAAATACTTTTTCCAGCCTCCCTTTGACCGTTACACCTTCAACCAAAAACACAGCGAGGGAGTCAACTATAACATGGTTTACAGAAACGTGCTGGTGATGTCCCAGTGCAACAATGGTAAATGGACTTAAGCTTGCAGAGCACTTTTCTTTATCTTCTGAATACTCAAAGCACGTTTGAGTAAATCTTTCCAGTGTGTTTCAGCGTGCTTACTTATATGTTACAGGCATGTTTGTGAAGGTGGCAGCATGAGCAGCAGACAGGACGAGCTCCAGAAGAATCTTAGTCGAACTGCCTCCCTTCATCCTCGAAGAGCCACTGATGGCTTCTGGCTAAACACAGACAAGACACTTTTAAAAAACCCAGCTCTCCTGATTTGAACAGGTTGTGTAACGAGAGATTTTTTTGTACCCCAACTGCTGGGTTGATGAGGAACGCCTTTTGACTTTTGGAAAGCTCCTGCATCCTCTGAACCACGCTGCGGAAGGTGAATGTGCAGCCCGGCATGGGGTCGTCTCTGACAGATTGTTAGTTTGGATGTTAGAAATAGAATAGAATAGAATAGATGCTGCCATTTGCACAGGTACAGCACAGTACAGGTACATTGGAATTTATGTGCGTTTCTCCCCGAGTCAGCTTCTACAAAAAAGTTAAAAATATATAAAAAATAGGATAGCAAAGTAGAAAAGTAAAAATAAAAAATAAGTAAGTTGTAGTAACAACTAAGTAAAATAAACTGAAAAATAAATACAAAAAATACCCCAAATTACAACAAATAAACGTCAAACTCACACTGACAATTCATACCAAATAACCAACCGTTTATAGCATAAAATAATAAAGTATATTTGAATTAACTTACCTTGCCTGGTGTGTCGGATTGAAGCCAACCAGCACTGGAGTGTAGACCTCAGGATGCTGCATGCAGAAGTCGAGCTGTCCTGCCACAAAAGGAGCCTAGAAACAATTTGCAGGGTCCTTCAAATTTAATATGTGAGCACACACATTTAAGATCCTGATCAATTAAGAGTGACTTACAGACAATCCACAAGAAATACCAATGAACAAGACCCGCTTCTTTCCCTCACAGACCTGCAGGCGCCACGAAACATCAAACGGGTCAAGAGGCTGGGTTAACCAAAGACAAACACACCAGACCCACCAGTTGAGAACCACAGCTATATGCTATGCTACGTCGGACCTTTTTAAGAGTGAGCATGCCCTGTTTGGGGTCATCTTCAGGAGCTTCCTGGGACGACAGCAGAGCTCTGATGAAACAAGAAAAATACTTTAATTTGTATATAAGAACAGCAAAAAAAAATTGCAAATGGACCAGTAGAATTCATAAAACTGCCCTGCTTGTGTCCTTTAGCTTACAAAGGCTAATGGCTAAAGGCTAATGGCTAATGTTAGCTTCATCAATAATTTAACCAATTAGTTTTTTGATCACTCTCGTGTGCTTAATTAGCATCACTTCCTGCTTCCTGTAAAACTTCAATCTAAAAGCAAAATGTGTTAGCTACACAAGCACTATCTTAGGTTTGTTAGCCTACATTTCTATTCATATTCAAAAACATAAGCATAACCATAAGCTAAAGCTCAATGACTTCTATTGCTCAGAAATTAAACTTTTAATTTGCATATAGGGTGACCATACATCACGATTTGACCAGGACCGTTTTGTTTTCCATGTTCCCACAAGTACCCACTATAAAACACTGATATGTGCCTGGCCCGGTTTGGACCAACCAAAACAGTACACCATGCTTGCAGCATTGATTTGTCTGTAAATATGTTGTAACCAATGCTGTTTCTGTTTAAACTAATCGAAAAACATCACTAATAAAGTTCAACACTGATTTGTCTGTACATGTGTCTGTCAGTTTTGAGGTTGCAGCTGTTGCTTAGCTAGCCTAGCCTAGCTTAGCATACTAACATACCCTGATAAGATTAAGATTTACTTTTATTGATCCTGCGAGGGGAAATTCTGTTTGTGTTTTTACACTCTATAAGTCATGCAACACACACACAGGCTGAAATACACACACATGCACAAACAGGATCCTATGGACATGCACTAATGGAGAGATGTCAGGGTGACGGGGCGGCCCCCGGCAGGCGCTCCTGGGCTGGTGGTGGGGAGGGGGTTTGGTGCCTTGCTCGGGGGCACCTCAGCAGTGCTCAGGAAGCGATCTGGCACCTCTCCAACTACCAGACCAACTTCCATATTTGGTCCGCGCTGGGACTTGAGCCGGCGACCTGGATACATGTGAACAACTTTCAGAATAAACAATCCCAGGAAGACAGCCGTCTGCCGAGTTAATCAACACGGCAGGGGAGGTCTTTGATGTGATCTGGACTATCTCAAACGGACTTAAGCTTTAGCTTTTAGACCCGTTGAACAAACTGCCTTAACCAACATAATCCATTTCTGATATAAAAGAATCTCGATTCAATCCCTGAATCGGATATATGTATCAATGACATCAAGACTAACACTTTCATGCAAGTTAGAATCCGCTACGATCATCTATGACGAACTTAAGATATTGAAGGACTAAATTACATTACCTGGTGAACTCTCCTTGAATCTTATGTGGAGCACTACCGCCCCCTAGTGGCAAGAGTGCTGTACCGACCTGAGTTTCACGGAGGAATTACGACAGTTAATATGTGATTTTGTCCTAGTTATAAACTTAGTATTTCAGGATATGATGTTATACTCTTCATACTATATTAATGTGTTTTTGAATGTTGAATGGTATAATGCTGATTTCATTACCATACAGGCAGAAATCGTCTAACTGTCCTCAGGTTGGACGTAATGTCTATTTCACTGCATAATTGTTTGAAATGTTTAATGTCGGAAATAATTCTACATACGAATATTGACATGGTGATGTTCATATGATCAAAGTTCTTATTTATGCTCTTAATAAGAAAAGAACTCAGAGTGAATTAAAATGAATAAGTTAAAATATTGGAGGCGGGTTAGATATTAGGCCCCGCCCCCTCATAAAAGTCATCCCCAGAATAAAGCAGCTTGTCTCTCAGGAGTTCGCTCTCTTGTAAATTTATCTTCTAAATTCTTCTTCTAAAAACTCTCTTGTAAAATTATCTTGAAAAATCTTTCTTCACCCTCTTAGACGTCTCTTGTTAATTCTTGTTTCAAACCACTTTGTTTCTTCAAGTTTTGCCGACGCGAAACTCTTTGAATTTAAGTCCGGATTCGCAGGACCTGCAGAACTCAAATCCAACTTAAACCAACCCTGATTCTTCATGCACGCATTCTAAGGCTTTTTCCTACAGCCTAAGATTAAACGCCGCTCTCTTTTTCTCCTTTTTTGAAGTATTGATCATTCGTCTTCCAGAACAGTAATTTTTCTGATCCTCACACTTGACTACAAGTGATCATTCAAGTCAAGTGAGGATCAACGAGCGTTCAATCCTGACGAACGTTAATTAAGACTCTTTGTGCCGCTGAGGGACGGACACACGGACAACTACTTGGACCGCTGTGTTTTTCTTCAAACCCATCTCATTGTCATTGCCACCGGCATTCCTGATCCGAAATAACTCGACGGGAAGTCTCGGCACCATTCGGCGGAGTTCAGTTGAACACTACGTCTCAGTCAGGAAGCGTTCTGATTATGAGATTGGGGTGTTGAGTCAAGCTTGTGGTATCCGAATCAAAGCCTCAGAGTCAACTTTCATCAAATTTATTAAGTTCCCTTTTTATTTTCTTTCTCAAAATGCCACTTTGTTAAATCCCTCAAACAATAGTTTTAAACTCCAAAATTTGACATAAGGATCTCACCATGGCAACCATGCATTTCCTTTAAACTCTTCTGTTCATCATTTTTCTTTATTAAACTTTCAGTACTTTGTCTGTGTAATTTTATGGTTTTACTGCTTGAGAATTCATCCCAATGATATGAGACAGATTTATAGATTCATTAATTACTACAGGTAATAATAGTTTCCTTACTTAACAAGGATGGTGCCCCGAGTTATATCTATTAAATATTAAAAGTAGATATGCTACACAAACATAACAAAAAGTGTCATGTTTTATTTAGAGGTTGCGGCTGTTGCTAAACTAGCCTAGCTTAGCTTAGCATACTAACAGGCCCTGATACACTGGTGTTTCCAATAGAGTACAGCTAAATTAGCCAAACATGACAAAAAGTGTAGATAAGAACTGCACGGTGAGCTTTTCAGTATGCTAAAAGCATTTTTCTCAATCGAGAAAGTGTTAACCTTAACCCTTACATTTTAAGAATCTTGTTTAATGAAAGAAAGTCCAACATACCTGTCTCCTCCTGCTATGATGTATGAATAGATGGAAGTCTGGTTCAACTCCCTCAGTGCTTTGTTGAAACCAGTCTAAACAACACACACAGGAGAGCAAAACACACAACAACAAGATTCATCTTTCCATAAGAAAAAAATAAAACAAGTTAGATTTGACAAGAAGATCTGATAAAGTGACATTATCCCCATATGGCCTGGCTCGTCCTGCTTTGCACTATAACATTGTCATCTATTCTTGGGGCTAAATCACACCGGGAGCATTTCAGGACAATTTATTTTACCACAATGAGGAAAGCCAGTCGACCAGAAGTCCCACAACCACTCAGTACAACGAGGCTGTCCTGAGGATCCTTTTGGAGAAACAGAAGACTCTCTAAACGTGTGCCTGACAGACCAAGCAGAAATACAGACTGACAGAAAAATCAGAGGAAAGTTACCTTAAGTATGAGCTCCACCCTCTTAGCGACCTCCATTATTGTTTCCACCACTCGTTCACTTGAAAGCCTCTAAAAATGACAATTAAATAATCATATTATCAAAGGGATTATTTTATATATAGGGTAGCACTTTAAATAATCATGAGTTAATGAATGACTCAGCAACTATGCATTTTAGGAACAGTATCGTAAAGTGTAACCTAAAGAAGAATTGACAGTAAAACCTGGAAGCTGTCCATTATTTCTTGGATATCTGTAGGCATGTACCTGGTAGGTGTCTTCTGAGTCTTCTTGAAAAATCTGGGTGTCACAGGCCTGTAACATCCTTACAATGTTATTGGCTGAAGCACGGTCGATGTCACGCGTCAGGGGATTGGATTTCTCTGACACAGGAAGTGAGGGCTCATAGTCCAGGAACTGAGGAACAGAAACGTTTTTTTTTAGGACTTTTTTTTATTGAATACGTTTATACATTCTTAGGGTCACTAAATTTATAACACAGAAACAGGTGACACATTCTGTAAAATTACAGGCACAACTCAGAACGACATGGCTGTTGTGTTCAATTCTGGACTCTTAAAAAGACAAGGTCAACTCTGGATGAACCCAAACACCCGTTTCTAAAGGAGTTCTCGCAGATGAATCCTACCAACATGCAGGACAAACAGACTGAAAATCTCCTTTGTCCTGACTGCAATTAGCCTTTCAAATAGCTCATTGTGATATTTATTTATGATGCTTATTCACTGCCATTGCCCTTTTAGTCAATTTAGTGTGTTTTCTGATGTATCCCACATTTTTTAAAATTTTCTTTCTATAGTCTGTGCTGAAAGTTTTATCCAAACCCATGAAAAAAAAAAAAGAGATAGCTTTAATTTAAGATAAATTGTTTGATAACAGTTAGATAAGGCTACTACTGTAATGTATGCACCCTCAATATGTAGCTTGAAGACAGTTAGCTTAGCATTAAAAAAAAGTTTATCAAAACCATGAAACAAAGAAATAAATTAGCCTATGGCTTCAATCGGGCATATCTATATGTTTGTTCCCTATTTAAATAAAATAAATAAAGCTTAAATAACGGAGACACTGTTTGATATGATATGCTAAGTGTTAAACTGCTACTACCCTCAATATGTAGCTTAATAACAGTTAGCTTAGCTAGCATAAAGACTGAACGAGTCCTTCTCCAGCCTATTAACTAATTAATTAAATGTTGTGTACTTGAAAACAGGCATGACACATTGGGAAACAGACCTCGAATTAGACCAGAAGATCAGTACAACTTGTGTTAGCAAGCTTAATTTGAAGCTAAGAGAGAGTTAGCTAAGTTACTTTAAAGACATAAAACTAATACAACAGCAAGTCTAGCTGTGAATAGAGTTTGAAAATATTTAAGAAGTATGCTCTTTGCCTCATTTGTCTTAACTTACTCTGCATAAAAACAGTCTAAAAAAATCAACTTGTATATAGAAAATAACTTCTAATGCTAGCTAGCAGGCTGATTAGCCACTGGCTGCACAGAATTGGGAGAGTTTTCAGGATTCAAATATTTGCTATGCCCATGCATTTCCCAAAACAGCAAACTAATCTACAGTACTTCCTTAAAGTTACCTCCCATGCATGCATTGTAGCATGACTACACGTCCAGTCTGTTCCTGCCATTCTGCAAGAGTCTTGTCCTTTTCTGCAAACAAGATGCGTCTGTCCCTGCAGACAGTTTCCTTTTCCTGGTTACAGGGATTTAAAATGATACTACAAACTGCTCCGCTCTATCTGAAGTGACAAAGTTCACTTAAGGACCTTTGAGACTTTGAGTACAAAAAGGAAGTATAGATTTTCAGCCATGCACACCCACACAATAAGCTCTAAGTGTCTTTTGATTAATAGCAGACATCTTTCTTTCAACTCTTTTTTTTTATGGGAAGCAAGAGAGACATAAACTGCAAATGCTTTCAGGAAAGACAGAACTTCCTCAAAGGGACGAGTTAGGTAATTTTGTATGTTAGAAAATTCCTAAATCACAACAGCAGCAAAATCATTTGAAACATGGAGATCAAACTGAAAACTCAGCGTGAGACTGATCTAAGAACATCATAATTGATCTCCGGTCTGAAGAGTGATAGCTCACAATAAAACATTTTTTAAAGAGCTCCAACGGTGAGTTTCTTTTAATCATTTTAAACAAGCTTACTGATTCACAGCAGTGCCAGTACTTAGACCCAGCAGTTTGTGGAGTCTGATACATTTCATCACTTTGGTGTTGGACTCCAACAAACTGGTTGCTGCAGATTGCCTCACTCCTCCAAACTCCCACTGGTGTCTCTAATAACTGCTGTCTAATTGCTGTCAGTGACACAGCAGAAAGGACGTTTTTCACATGTTTTCTCCAAAGACAAAAGAGGGATGAATACTTCTGCTTGTTAACACTAAATGAGTTGTGTGTAGTGCACATTTTTTTGTACTACTTATTACTCACTCACATTGATTATCAATTATATCAGACATGTGTCAGCTTGGTGTAAACCTGAGTCATTCCAACAACAAGGCACAGGGCTGTGTCATAAGTCGGCCAAACGCCTTCATAATTTGTTGCCAGCAGAAACACGATTGTCACAACTGAATTCTACCAAAGCAAAGAGGATTACATCGCTATAAAGGTAGGCCCAGCTAACAATTCAACCGTTATTGGCTGATATGAAATATGGACGTTGTCTCAAAGACGTCATCCATTGGTTTCAGAAGCAGAGTTTTGAAGCCTAACAATGGTGGTCACCATATTGGTAAATGTTGTCTCACACTAACTTTTGATCAACCCAACAGGCAAGGGGACGGGCCTTTAACCTTACTGGCTAGCAGCAACATTATGTTTGTTTCTGCTGTTGAAAATGGCTAACAGCTGTTAATAAGACTTTCGCTGCTAGCCTCAAGTGGAGACTCGAGAAACTGCAATATTTTCCTCGCAATACTTCATTTTCAACACAGGAGGTTGCCACTTTATTGGAGCCCAATTTAATTATTAAAGTTATATACTTGCTTTGAAAAAAAATGCTATGGCTAACATGTTAGCATATTTGCCCTGTACCAATCAGAGGGACTGTACCAATCACAGAAGCCAACTCCCTTTGCCCAAAAAAGACCTTTTTAAAATTAAACTCAGCTAAATGTCTTGACATTACCTAACTGTTTTTGTTACTGTAAGTCTTTGGACACCTAATTGGTCCTGAAACTATTTGCTTTGATTGAGTGTTAAAATAAGAATTTATAGTCCGGCTACATTGATTTCTTTAAAGACATCCCCATGTAAGTATATTTTTTTGCTTGCTTTAATCATCAATTATTTTTTAGCACTATAAGTACAACATCATTATGAAGATAATGAAATCTGAAGGTTTGCAGGGTTATGAAAGAACTTAGAAGAAGCAACAAAAAAAGTGCGTTTTTGTATAATAATCACAAAAAAGTAAAATCTCTTTCTTTAGTTATTGGGCATGAGTTCCTCTGTAGGTCTGATCTTCTCGCTCAAACAAAGAGTGACACTGGGTGGAAGGCTGAGTTTCAGCTACCAGCAGACAGAACTCATTTGAAGTCACGCTGTGTGCTTAAAGATGCAAAAAGAAGAGCTTCAGAGGACTGGGTGATTATTCTCTGGGTTTTAAGTGAAACTTTTCACATCACAATACTGATTAAAGCAGCACTGTGTTACATCCGGCTTTTTAATCCTGATCTCTGGCCTGCCTTCAAAAGGCTCCGTGTGTCAAAAAATTAACATTAAGGCTCTTTGATCTGTTCATTTTCCAAACTGTAAGCTTGTTCATAGCCACAGTTTGCTGCTTCTTGCTCCCCATCCTAAAGCACAAAGACAGCCATGTAGCTAGTCATTTACATTTTTCCAGACATTTTATTAGTCATTTTAAAAGTAATGTCTAATCAGCCCCCTGCTAAACCATTATGACTCTGAGAGGGAAATCAGACCTTTTGGTAGGGCTCTGTTTTATTTACATTTTGAGTTTTTTATCTGTGTTTGGATGTGCTCTTAGCAACTTTTCATAAATTACAAAATCTGCTTGATCTGAGTTGATCCCTGTGTCCCTGATAGTCTTAAATTGCATGCTTGGAATTTTATTATTAACAGCAGTTTTATTACTCATTCATTTTAAATGTGTTTACTTTTTTTTAGCTCAGGGTACTTTACTTCCTGTTTAGGTACAAGCCTGCTTTTATTTTGACATAAAATAAGGATTGAGTGTTACGGCATTCAGTTTACCACAGAATAAACTTGGACTGATTTAAGTATTTTTTTTGGATGAACGATCATGGGACATTTGACCTTTAATTATATGAGATGTTTACCTACAGTGTGCCTAAAGGGACAATACAACAATATTTTTGATTTAACAAATTAAAAAACTTAATGAATTCATTTCAGATATTTATTACATTTATAATACTTAGGTCTTTATTTTCTCGGGTGTCAAATCCACTGACAGCTAACACAAAGTATATATCTTAGACTGCCAAAGGAATAAAATGGTAACACATCAATTTCCATTTTAAAAAAAAGCATCAATCTGACTCTGTGAGCTGAACAAAATGAACATGAAAAGAGCAGACAAGCCTGTGAAATCATATTTCTACACCTCCTTTTTATTGGCTTCCTGAGGTTTTGGATCACACACGTTCACACATTCTGTATTTAAATTCCTTTATTGTATCGATCCATTTACAGCTCTATAGCTGTTACAGTCAGGATGGCATATTTTACCTTTAACCAGGGGCATCTTTAAATGTGATTGGCCACCCCACACAAACAGAAAGTTCCTCCCAATGACGGCACCATTACTGGATCTGAAAACTTTTTTTTTAACACCACTGTCAGACTCTATTTGGGAGTTTAAAGTAGCCAAGTTTCCTCCCTGCTGCGCTCACTTTATCTTTAACTGTCTCATCTCTATTCAGAGGCAAAATGAAGTTCCAGTTTGTGCAAGTTTTTCCTTCTCGACATGTTTTCAATTGTTACTCCCTCTGTCCTGACTTTGCTCTGCTTTGATGGAAGGTTGTTCTGAGATGAAACTGAAATGCTGAATTCCTCTTTTTCATTTTATGGCTTTTCTTATCATATTTTTGCAGCTTTTTTTGAAGTTTTTGCACAAATCTGTTCCCTTGCCTTGTTCTGTCCTTACAGAATAAAAACTCTCTTCTCACGGCGTCCTGCTTCCCATCAACTCAGCGCGACGTAATCGTTTTGATCTATTGAGGTTCACCGCTGATCCAGGAGCTGCTGCCTACTTTTGTCTTGCAGTGACAACCCAATCAGACGCATTTGATCTCGAGTCCTTGGGCATTTTTTTGCTAATTCATTCGGATAAATACTGCATGTGTGGTGGGACTGCAGCTGTAACCTCATAATGATTCATGTATGAGATTTACTTTTAACTCTATAAGTGTCCTGATTCTATTTAATTTTTTTGTAACTTCTACATTTTAATATGGCATTCAATATTTTTTTTAAGGCATAATTACACAGAGCCAGGCTAAAAAGTCAGGATGTGTTTGGATTGGGACCTTTATGTAACCTCATGTGCAACTTTAAACTTCTGGAGATTTATTTTTTTAAATAACTAAAAAAAGCTGAAGTCTGGTGCATCATAGCTGCCATGTTTTGCTGCTGGCACGTGCCTCTTTGCAAGTTGCTCAGGTCACATTTCTCTGCATTCTTTGAAAGGTTTTAGCCTTAAGTCAAGGTGTTGGAGGGGCGGGGGGGCGGGGGGGCGGGGGGCGGTGGGGGGTGGCTCCACACTTGTGCTGTGGCTGGGTAACTCCAGTGTTTCTGTCACTTACTCTCATTGTCTCTTGCCTCACACACACAAATGGGGCAGAGCTACACACACCCAATCGACTCTCTCTCTCCCTGTCCTTCAGCTACTGTTGTCATGACAACAGATAGGCTAATCTCCAGTGGACAGGGAGAGAGAGAGAGAGAGAGAAAGTGCTTGCACAGAAACGTGCTCCTGAGAACGAGGAGCAATAGTGCTTGCATATCTTTGAGTGTGCATGTGCTTAGAAAAATAGCTTGAGCGTTGTGTGTGTGTGTGTGTGTGTGTGTGTGTGTGTGTGTGTGTGTGTGTGTGTGTGTGTGTGTGTGTGTGTGTGTGTGTGTGTGTGTGTGTGTGTGTGTGTGTGTGTGTGTGTGTGTGTGTGTGTGTGTGCTTGTGAGAGGGCGGGCGAGCAGGCACGTGTTTGTGTTGTAGCCTGTGCAATGTGTTTACATTCCACCTCAGTTTTTACATATATAGCCCACTGACAACATTTCTCAAAGAGGAATCAGAAATTGCTGTTTTTCACTTTTTTTCATTCCTTCACTCCAACCTTCTCTAAACCTGCATGTCAATCAATGTCCCTTCTTCCTCATCCTCCTGACCTTCATCACCCTTATCTCACTCCCCTTTATGACTTCACTCTAATAAAGCCTTTCAATTTATACTATTTTTTCTCTTCCTTCTTTAAAACCATGCATCCTTTTTTGTGACTTCTTCCCTCAAAATGTTTCCTTTTTCCTCATCTGACACCTTTGTGTTTCCTCCAACAATCCTTAAATCATCCTCTTTCTTGCTGCAATTCTCTTCATCCTTTGAAACAGCCTGATTCATTTTTTCTGTCACACATACACACACTCCTTTCATCCCTCCTCTAATTCCTTCATCCTTCCCTCCTTTCTCTTTCTCTATCAAGCTCCCTTAGCTGCAACCCCC